AAAAAGGGTACATTTATACAAAAGATATTTTCATTAAGCAAGGTACGGCCATACGGTACCAAGTTTTCATAACACGTAATTCCGTTAATGACTTTGTGAGACATTTACTTCAAATTACCATTAAGTCCTGTATTGTAACCAGAGTCTCCTTGAGGGAGAGCGTGATAGTTGTGTATAGATCTATATTGGGTTTGACAAACCCACACCTAAACTGCATGCAACAGTTAGACCGATAGGTCTGGGGTGACAAATGTCATAACATTTCCGACGCCCGAAGAACGCCGTTTTAGGCAACCTTGGTCATAGCATGGTTATAATAAACTCACACAAAGTATTAATAAATATTGGAATTTACGGGAACTTCATTAAAATTAAACGAGTTTATGTCGATTTAAACTTACATTATTTATTATAAGTAAGAAAAGTTACTTATACATTTCGGTCTTTGAATTTAAGACTACATATACATTTTAAGGAAAATATTGGATTTTCTAAAACAAATACTACTTTTACAAACGAAAGGCTTTTAATAATACCAAACAAAAGCTTATGAACTCACCAACCTTTGTGTTGACACTCTTTCAAAACAACTTGTATTCTCAGGAAATCATTAAACAGGTAACCAAGTGCTTTTGAGGATGGGGCGCTAAGGCGTCTACTATTTCATATTTTGTCAACATATTGTAATTGATTCGTAAACATTTAATTCATACAATGATGTAACTTTTTCAATTATATATATGTTGGTTGTGTTTGCTTCAATTACTATTACAATTGTTGTTATGATACTATACATGAAGTCCTCAACCCCTGGACGTTTCCGCCATCCTTGGTTTGGGGGTGTGACAGTTTTCCACCCTTAGATCAAATTGGTGACATCATCTTACTTAAATGGAATGTATTTAATTCCAATAAAAGTTTTCCAATTGTCAAACAAAATTAACTTAAATCCATTGAAATAGAATGTATTTAATTTTAATAAATTTCCCCCTATTTTAAATCTTGAATTTTTGGTTATAAAGGTTTTAAAATAGTCAACTTTAAAAACATATTACTGAAAACCATTTCAATTAAAACATTAAATATCAACCATTAATATAAATCCATTTATATTAGCAAACCATTAATATAAAATCCATTTTTATTAGGAAACCATTAATACCAAAATATCATATTCAAATTATCACATACATATACGATTCATCCTTGAATTTGTGGCTCACATTTATTTTCGATCGTTGCTTTTCTTCAGACCTTCTCCTACAACATCATTCTTATTGTTTATCACTTCCATCATCATTATCTGCTTCAATCCTTCATTGTTGTGCACTAGAAGGTCAGTACCTTCTTTCGCTTTTTTATATTATTTTTCGATTATTTTTTGTTCCCGTATCAAATATACGTATTCATATATATATTTTGATATTCTTTGTCACAACTTACATGAAATCGATTAATGTCATTCAGTCTAGATTAAGTCAAACAAAACAAAATTGTATAATTTTTCATATTAAATTCTTAACCTATTAACTTGGACTCGATACTCAACAACCTCTACAAACTGCAATAGCTATGTGATTTTTTTTACAATTTATAGCAACATAATTACCATGAAAAAAGAACTTTTAATTTAAACTACAACTTAGTTTTTTATCGGTAACAACAATATACAACACTTAATATCAACATCATTACCTACCGGTTTCTCTAGATATTAATACATGAACCATATCAAAAGTAGGCTAAGAAGTTAGAATCTAAACTAGGAATAATCTTATTTCCTTAAATATCATATTTACGGTATTATAGAAATTTTTTATTTGATTGTAGAATCAAATTGCATAATTACAATTAACATTGTTTTTATTAAACTTTGTATGTAGGTATGAAACAACAATAAGTATATTTTTGAAGAAACATTGTTTAAAATAATTTGTATAATCTAAATACATGTTAATTTAGTTCATTTTTATACTTTCCTGTAACATTGGATTTTTTTGTCATGTTACATTCAAAATATGGGTTATTAGAACAGACACCTTAGGTGTTTGACGAAATGTCTCAAAGAATCTGACACAAGTTCTCTACGCTCACCTCACAACCATGTATAAATTTTGGTTTTTTTTTCTAGATTTTTAGCATCATGTGTTTTTTATGTTTGCAACTTTGTAGTGTTACATGTTTTTTTGTCTCATCCTCAGGTTTTTCTATCTCTGATAGGGCTTCATTTTTTATATTTATTGTAAACTATCGATTCAATCTATGTCACTTTGTTATGACTTTTATCAGCGTGATAAGATTTTAATAAATTGTCCATTTCTTGATCTTTTAGAAAAAGATGTTCTAACTGGATTATCATCTACGACCGTGGTATTCTATTTTGTTGATGAAGCGATCTATGATTTGGCCATGATGGTTTTTACGGATTATTTTTGGACTGATAATTGTTCTTGTCATCAAAAAAATACATCCAACAAAAAGTGAAAGATAATTTTTTTAATTAATACCATCATTTAACTTTAAAGGATTTTTTTCAACTTTGATGGCATGTAACAGAGTTTTGGCTGAAATTTTCAATTTTGTCGGCATATAACAGGTTATGACTTAAATAATGATATTAGATATCTGGGCAATCAGGTTTTCTTCGGTTCTTAAATTATTTTGCAGAAAGTTGTTCAATTTGGTATTATTGATCTCACAAAAGGCAAGTCTCATGTCTCTTTTAGCATATCCATTGAGTTTAATAGTTTATTGTTCATATTTGTTTTTTTTTTTAAATGTTAAATCTTGTTTTAGTGAATGCAAGTCAGTAGGAAGTAAAGGTGCAAGAAAAGAAAAATACTAAATATGGGATGATCATGGTTATTTCAAGCCAAAATAAAATTCTAAAGTAACAAATGCTAAATTTAAAAGATAAACACTTGTAATGCATAATACATATTATACTTCCCAAATAAGTAACCAAAAACTAACCTCATCCCCAAATAAATTACATATTAACTAACATCAATAAATTATGATTATAGTGTCTTGATTTTTAATTATACATTATAGAGAGTCGGTTAATATGTAGTCATTATTTTTATATTCGTATCGGTTTTGAACTACAAAAACTATATTCAAATAATAAAAATGAAATGTAACATATATGATGGTAATAATGCAAAAATAACCTTCAAATTTGGTTTGATACAAAAAAATAGTCTAAAACTTATTTATAAAAGCAACAAGAAATAACAACGAACTTTCAAAAAGAAATGAGAAATTGCAACTAACTTTTAAAAACTATCAAGAATGTATAATATAGGATGATAATAATGCTTAAAAACACCGAATTTGGTCTGATGCGAAAAAAGTAATTTTATATGAAAGTAGGATTGCAGTAATACTAAAAGAACCTATATGTTTTTTATCTGATGCAAAAGTGGTCGAAACATACTTCTAAATTGGCAAGAAATAGCAATGAACTTTTAATTCATCTTGAATAACCATTTAATAGATATATGTGAAAGATATGAATACTCAGCAGTTAAGACCATAGACCTTACTCAAACGTCCGCAAATGTCTTGAAGTAAGCATTTATTTTTCCATTATTTTATCATTGTCATAAAATAAAAATAAAAAATCATCATTTGTTTAAATTGTTTAATTCGTCTCATAATAACAAGTAAGTTGTGTGTCAATTATGTATTTTGACATTTTCAATAAGTTATGGGCAATATCTAAATCGAGCAAGCATAAATGTTTTTATATTTCTTTGTCAGAGTTTTTTTTTTTTTTTTTTATATTTAATATTGTACGTGTGTATGTGTGTGTGTGTGTGTGTGGGGGGGGGGGGGGGGGGGGGGGGGGTGGTTCATTTCAAATAAACATAAATAAGTTGCTATTTTTTAAAATAAACAATTCTATTTCGCAATATAACCATAAAATAACAATGTATTTTGAAAGTACATTGTCAAACGTTGGATTATACTTGCGTAGACCCGTTTTGCGCATGGTTAACTATATGTAGCTGTTTCCGGTGTCACAAGTAAAAAAGGTTTGAAGGTACTTTGTGGCGATGAAGGTCGTTCAACTAATAAAACAAAAAATATTGTCTACAAAGAGGTCCTTCAACGACTATATATATTTACCAACCTCAGTGTATTTTATACACATTTCAATAATATCAATAACCCTGATTTTTTTATAATTATTCTGCAATATCTATATACATTTATATTTTATTTATGTGTTTCCCGCGTTTAACGCGGGTCATAATCTAGTTAATAAACTATAGGCTAAATATTTGATTCATATTCATTTTATCTCCAATATAATTGAGTTTATTAAAACATTGGCAGGGGCAGGACATCTGGCAGTCCCTCCACTGCCTCCGCCACTGGATCTATGAGTGGAAAACTAGGCTTTATTCAAGATTTTAATAAAAAATTATATTTTATTAAGTGAAATAGAGTGCATCAAGTGAGTAATGACACTTTTTAATTAAAAATCAAGAAAAAAGTATCTTAGATTATAAAACAAAGATGACAACACATTTTAAATCAAAAACAAAAATGTTCTCACTCTTATATAGAAAAAATGTGTTAAGTTAAATTCGACCTCATAAAAATAAAACTAATAACAATAAAAGACCACATATTTTAGAAGTTTGATGTATTATTATACATGGTTGGTCGCGTTCCAGTTTTGTGTGGTCATGGGCATCATGGCAACCAAGGTTTTCTTTTTTATATCATGAAAAGCTTTTTCGATATTACCTTTAAAGTTTCAACAAATAATTTTAATTTATTTGCTTATAATACGACTTAAACAAGCTTCTATTTATTTAGTTTTTAAGCATTCTAAGGAGATTTTTTGTTCAGCATAATGTGAAGCAAAGGCTTGTTTCTGTCGTATCGAATTGACCAAACTGATTCTGAAAATTTGGAATGTGGATCTGAATACTGCTTCACAAACTGAATATATAATAGCATTGAAGCTATTTGTGTTTATTTCAACATCTACAAAAACAAAGTCCATTACTCTCTAGTGACCATGATCACCATCGAACCACTATTCTTTTTATGATAATATCTCTTTCATTCTCTAATCTATTATACAAGTTATCTTCTAATTGTTATACAATGATTAATTTGGTGTTCACATTGACTTCAGATGGATGAAGTTTTCTCTGTTATTCCAAGTTAGTTCTCTTTCTTCGTCTCGTTTTTCTTATGTGCTTTTGATTAGCTCTATATATAAGTCAAATAATATTCCCCATTTATATAAACGCAATTCTTATAAACATAATATTTTATAGGTGTAGAGGACTCTAGTGATGGTGGAAACTTGTGAAGTAGAGGGTTTAACAAATCAGTTAGAGGTCGACTGAAGTCCTTAAAAAGTTACATTTTCATGTGTAGGCACAAAATGATTTGTTTCCATCATTTGGAAAATCATTTCAATTAATTTACGAATCAGAGTTTCTTGGAGATGAAGGCTCTGTCATTTTATTAAATGCATCAATATAGACTTTGGTGACACATTATGGATCGCCCCTTGGAATTAAGTTGATTTATCTACTTGTGGAGAAGATATGCAGAAATCAGGAATACGTCTTTTCTGCTCACACTTGTCTGCAATTGACAGATTTGCCTCAGAGAGCAATTTCAAATCATTCCCAATTTCACAAATGAAATTTCTAACCTGCTATTTTTTTAAAGTAACTTTTTAATCATTTAGTTACAATATTCTGCAATCCATCATATCCCTTCCATTTTTACAACTAAATGATATTTTTTTAACAAAAGAAGTTCCTGATATTGTGACACAAATTTATTTTTTATGCTAAAATAATCTCTAGGGGCTGCTTTTATAGTGCAAGCAAAATGTATGATTAAGTTTATGTGTATATAAACCAAAAGAAGTCAAAGGCAGAGGTAGGGGCTACCTTTTTATTTGTATCATCATGTTTGGGAAGTGAATCCAAGTTTCTCAATTAAGTGGCCTGCCAAATTTCAGAAAGCAGGATGAGTTAATAAAGGTATAAAACTGTTTGTCCATGTTTACAACCATATATTGACATGGAAACAATTTCTTTTATTATATACATGCTTATGTTGGATATAATATTGGCATTTTGTTGGTTGAAAGAAAGCAAAATTAAATATTATATTTATAATTTATCATTTATCATCAGCGGAGGGAGGAGCATACCTTCAGATTAAGTTTGTAACTGCTCAGGGTATGTAAGTTTGAGGGATACGTGAGATGAGGGGCCAGTAGGAGCCTCTTTTACTACTCCTTTCTTTCAGATTTGGGCATCCTCCAATTCCCAAACTCAAGAGTGAAGGCAGCAACATTTCTGGTAGATCAATTATCTTTGGGCAGTTGTAAACGTGGAGACCCTGGAGGGAGGTGAGGTGTTGGAGTCCCATTGAAACTGATTCCAGCTTCTCAAATTCATTTATTTCAAGAGAAGTAAGAGATGAAGGAAGAAGATGGGACATCTGACTGAAATTACTCACATCATCATATGGTCCGCCATATAATCCTAACTGCACAAGTGAGGTTGGAAAAGTCTGTGGGCCCCACTTTGAAATGGGCTTCTTCAACCCCCCTATTTTAAGAGAAGACAGCTTTGGAGGCCAAAGCCCACCAGAAAAGGAAGCATCCATGCTCGGACATCTTGCTATTGCCAGAAATGTTAACACATTGAGTTTCGGCAACTCATGGTCAGGAAATGACTCCAGATTTGGACAATCGCTTATTTCGAGTTTCAAAAGGTGATTGAAGGAACTCAAAGCAGTGATCGATTTCAGATTTTGCCAACTAATTATACATACGGATTCAAGCATCAGTATGTTTGAGTTGATCAGAGGCTTCTTTCGTGCACCTACCAACTCCTTCTCCAATAATTTATTACAATTCTTGATGGTAAGTGACTTGAGGCTGTTTGGACAGCTGCAATGCTCCAAGCTGTCACAACCCAATACGGACAAGCTTGTAAGAGATGTTAGGTTGCTCCCACAATTCTCCTCGTCCTCTTTCTCTCCTAATCTCACCAAATTTGAACAACCTTCTACTTCCAATGTCCTTAAATTCACAAGAACCTTACTTGCCTCTGCTTCTGATTCCCACAAGTATCTTATTTCATTACACCTTGCAATACATAATTCTTCAACTGCCCCAAGATGCTCTATAACACCTCCCCACACCTGATCATTAAGTCCTGAAATTTTATCTATAACCAAATCGGTGACTGATGAAGCTACACGAACCAGACTTCCTAACACTTCATGACCGCACCCACTTATCCATAGAACCCTCAGTGAAGGTAATGCTTCAATTGAGACTCTAACCAAATTAGGACAATCATCTAACGAAAGCTTCTGAAGGCATGGAAATGTTGTATCCACAAGTACCCCATTATTATTGGTTGACCATACCTCCCACTGCTTCATATCTCTAAAACTTAGAAACTCAAGTGAAGGGAATGCAGGACTAGTAGTCCCAAGAAACTCCAAACCAACAACTTTCACCTCATCCATGTCTTCAATAACCAACTCCTTAAGGAATGGTAGCTGCCCAAGTAGCGGTAGAGATGTACACTTCTTACAGCCATTTAATGTCACTTGAGCCAACCGATGAAATGAGGGATCCCCAACCCAACTCGGAAACTTTGTACCTCCATATGACACAATGCTGAGATGTTTTAGATTTTCGTTATGAGGCTTCATCGCATTCAGGACCTCCTGTTCAACTACTTCCTTTCGAGAATTATCAAATACATCACTCCATTCCACCACTAACTCACTTAGCCTCCTGCGGGATAAGTTCACTTCCTGTGCGTGCATTGGATTTTGCACTTTGTCAAGCCCCTTAAAGGAAATTTTACCTTGGAGATCCTTTAGATCTTTAAGCTCAGTTATTGAAAAGCCGCTGTCTCCTTCAATAATGATCTTAGAGAGAGTTCGTAGGCTTTTCAACTCACCAATCCCTAAGGGCATCTTCTTCAAAAGTGGAGTATCCATACAGTCAAAATGCCGCAAATTTTTTAGATTTGAGAAGCTGTCAGGCAACTTTTTCAAACGGTAACAGCCCGAAACAATCAACGTCTGTAAATTATAAAGGTTGCCGACATTATCTGGTAAATGTGTGATTTTGGTTTGAGATAAATTAAGATACCGTAGGTGCTTCAGACTGCCAACGAATTCTGGTACCTCGCTTATCATAAGATTACTCAAACTTAGGACCCTTAACAATGGTAACTCCTGAAGTAAGTTATCTAGAACCTTATTTGATAAGTAGAATATTTGCCAACTGTTTATCATCCCAACAGATAAGGCTAATAATGTTCTCAAACTATTAGCTCCTTTGAATGCCTCGAACTTTGTGTAAATCATATACGTCTCACAAACAAATGACATATGCCGGTACTTACCCGAATCTTCCTTCCGAATTTCCTTCTTTGTTTCAATGTCTAACCTTGAAAAAAATTCTCCCGCAACAGACATGGCCAAGTCATTCATCAGGTCATGCATAACAAATAACGATTTGTCATTAGGTGCCCGTTGGAAAAATGACCTTGACAACAAGTCTTCAAAACATTCAACACCCATGCGTTCCATTAATTTCCCTGTAGTATTTGATTGATGCAAAAACCCTTCCGCCATCCATAATAGAATCAACTCCTCCATGTCAAACATGTAGTCCTTAGGGAACAAGGAACAGTATGCGAACAACAGCTTCAAATTAGCAGAAAGATCATGGTAGCTTAGCCTAAGAGCCGGAATAATCTTATCTCTATTTCCCAACCTCCATATCTCACTATTAAGCAGCTCCTTCCATTCTTCCTCGTCTGATTTTGCCCTCAATAACCTCCCAAGTGCTATCAAAGCCAATGGCAGGCCATCACATTTTTCGACAATACCTTCACCATGTGGTTTAAGTGTTGGATGGGAATCGAAGTTATTTTCACCAAATGCATGTTGACAAAATAAAGATACAGCATTCTCATGTGACAAAACAGAGAGACTGTAAGGTTGATTGTAACCCAGTTGGGTTAGCAATGGCAGCTTCCGGGTGGTCATGATAATCTTACTTCCGGGTGCTCCTGCTAGAAATGGGCGTTCTAGAATTTCCCAATCGGTATAGCTTTCACTCCACACATCATCAAGAACAACAAGAAATCTCTTCTTTGATATCTTCTCTTTTAAAGCTACTTGAAGAAGATTTAAGTCCTTAAATTCTTGGTTTCCCCCGCCTATCGCTTGAAAGATAACTTTGGTTATATTGAAGATATCAAATTCATCAGAAACACAAACCCACGCCTTGAGTTCAAAGTGAGCCTTCCCTTGCATTTCGTCATACAAAAGTCTAGCTAGAGTGGTCTTACCCACCCCACCCATACCAACTATGGGCACGATGCTATAGTTTCTATCACATGGTTCATATAGCTTGTGGATCAAAGCATCCTTTTCATCTTTGCGTCCAACAATACTAGATGCATCTACCAGAGAGGTCTCTAACCTTCTATTCATATGTTTTGGGCTTTCATCTTTCACACTTAAACCAAGATTTTCTTTTTCCTCTACCAGTTCTTGTAACTTGGTGGTAATAGCATCTAACTTGCTACCCATCCTAGTACTCAGTGAGAAATTTGTGCAACAAGTTGGTATTATCTTTCTTACCAAGCTGGTGGAGGCTCCAAATTCATCGGTCAACTCACGATGTATACCTTCTGTTGCCAAGTCATCAAGTAGGTCGTCTATGTCGTAAGCCAGATGTTGGAGACCATTCAACCACTCTTTAACAGCTTCATCACTTATTTCCTTCTGAGAAGCATCATTAAGCAGAGCTTTAATCTGGATTAATGACCTCTTCAGTTTCCTGAGCTGGGAATCAATTCCCTTAGCGCGAGCAATCTTCTTGATGGCTTCAGAGGCCAGCTTTTCAAAGAACACCGAGAAGAAGGCAGAAACAACGATTTCAGCCATTGTTTATGATAATTAAGAGTAGAGAATATTAGTAGAAATGGGGAAGAAATGGATATGCGGAGAGAATGATTTCAATTATTGTTTATAGCAGAGATGTGATTGCTCATGGAAAGAGAAAGGTTTCAATTATTGATGAGGGCATAGATTCGGATAAAATCAATGTACACCACAATTTTTGTGGCCCCAAAAGTTGCAAGTGCTGTATTTTGAAAAATAGTTACCAAAACATTGCGAATTTTAATTAATTTATCAAAAGGAAAATCAAAGAACATTCAAACCTCAGTGCTCAACAGCTCATGGGGTCGATGAGGTCCGAGTTGGTATGGTGGCCTGGTGGGTCCAGATAGTGACTGACGGATCGACGAAACCATCCTTCACCTCCGACTCTCCGTTCGACTTTTCCATGGCCCTCATCTTCTTCTGCTCACTGTTCTCTTCTTCATCGTCTTCTTTTCTGAAATTGTGTTTAGTAAGAATTTCCGCTGCATGTGTGGGATTCAGAGAGTAACGAACCGAGTGGATTAAAATCTGTTCTTGTAAGGGGTGTAAATCTGTTCTTGTTTTTCACTTTTTGCCTCATACGCCACTTTTTTCCAAGTTCTTTTACTCACCGAAACTCAAAAAATCATCTTCACTATCTTTCACTTTCATTTTCTTTTAAATAAAAATAATTGATTTTTAAGTTATAATTTTTTTTAAATGACTAATAAATATAAAAATTATTTAAAATTAAAACACCACTTCGTTAATTAAAACTAGGAATGTTTTGCGCATGGACCGGATTGTTTTAAGGAGTTTGTTGTTGGCTTATGCTCTGCTGAATATCCATTTTGTTATTGGGCTAATGGTGTGTTCAATATTTATTTTTAATGTTATAATTGTGGGGTTTTTCTTTTAATTTATGAGTGTAACGGTTGTTAATTTAATTTGTTTTTTTATATATATTGTTTGTGACATTGTTGTTTAAATTTCTTTCTTATGGACTCATCATCATTCCTAATGCTTGTCCTACAATAAACGTGTTTTGGATAAAATAAACATATTTTGGTCATTGTTACTTGTTAGTCTTCATTTCTTTTACTAAGAATAGGAAGGAACTTTTTTGGACTTTGTTATTGGGTTGTGGGTGATATCTGATGGGTTTATATTTATTGACAGTAAAAAACATTTGAGTGCATGCAAAAAAAACACCAACTACATGGAAAAAATTAACAAAAGACTTCGTTTACACTTCCTCTTAGATTATTCAGTGCACTTTTCAATAGGGTTTGAGCATCTCTTTATGGAGGATTATCGAAAGGCAGATGCACCTCAACAGCAAAGGCAGGCATCCAAGACTTTGAGGAAGTGGTCCTCTAATAAGACTGTCTTCCATGACCCTAAAGGTCAAAACAGGAAATTCATTGTAAGGTCTCACGTAGGGTAGACATGAATGATAAGGATTTTTACTTATAACTCCTCAAGTGTAGAAATATCACCTAGTGCTTCAGGTATAGAACCATTGATGCGGTTCCCAGAAAACTCCTATGGAAATAGTGTCAAAGGTACATTCAGAAGGGCAAAATGGGAAATTTGAAAGAAAAAAAAAAGTAACATGTTGATATGTTTATGTTAATAACAGACTGACAGTTTTATGTTAAGCTACTTTGCACTTTTCCATCATAACTATCGATAGCATATTATAATAAAAACAAATGAAAAGTAGATTGTTTCACACACACATCCATACAGCCACACACACACATTAAATACACATACATTCTTTGTGCATTGTACTTTCCTATTTCTTGCATTATAGTATTGTAAGTTCAAAGTACAATGCTTAAGTATTAATCTAAAACTAAAAACTGAAATTACATAAACGCAAGTAAGGTACTTCTATTGCTTTTGTTTAATTAAGATATTATAATAAAAAAAAAGTAATAGAAATACATGCTATTCCATAACTTTTCAAACAACCTTCATTTAGCTTTAAAGTGTTTGTTAGGTATATAGATGTTAAAACAAATCAAATTGACATATTACCCACCTCTTAAAGCGGCTGCAGAAGCATAAAGAATGAAAATGCATGACAATGAACTACAAAATAAAATAAGAAAATTGTTTCTGCTCTAAAAATAATCATCAAATAGCAATTGGTAAATTAAAGACCTCCATTCCAATTCACAATTCAATGTAAAGTTGGATTGAATCGTTTTTAACTTCAAAATTGACAAAAATACTTCCTTTGGTAAAAAGAAACTTCAAAAGTACATTAAACTATCTGAAGTAGTAAAAGTTACAGACATTTTAGAGATAAAAACAAAATCCATGTTAATATAGAAATTATCTAGGTTTGAAGCTCTAAATCATAAGTGGGTTGAATGATGATACCTGTTAATAGAGTACATGCAACACAACCTCACTAAGAAATCTCCCTATAAATCATGCCTGTAGATTCAAAAGAAGATTGGTATGTCCTGTCATTTAATTATAATTTAGTTTTTTTATCATGAAGATAGAATAAAAAGGTTATGTAGAAAGTGAAATATCAAACTACACTCTTAAAAATTGTATTTAAGATCACTTATTGAACCTAATGCTCTTTCAAGTTTCCTAATCATAGTTAAATGCATAAATGTAATTCAAATTATGAATTATAATCAACAATGCTACTCTATGGATTTAGAACAACATTAAGAACAAATTAGAGGTGTAACCCATATATATTGTTCTCTTATAACATGTGCCACCTAAAAGATTCGGACCAAATTTCCTTGGATAAGTGAAAATCAAATAATATTAACAAAAAATTATGAACATACTCATATTTAGAAATTAGTTCTTGCCTAAATTGAAGGATTGAAAGGGGTATTACACCTGAGAATATTCAATACCTGCTGCAGCTGTTGGTGTATTCGAGTTGTGTTCTAATCAAATGCCTGCACAGCAGAAGCCATCATCATTAAGATTTCGAACACAAAAAAATAAGCGATAGAAAAGATCGTTTATTAAAGGTAAAGAAAGGGCAAGGAGGTACGTGGCCATTTGTTCATTCGACTTTGCTCCAGCAAGTGCTGCTTCAGATGACTTTCCAAATGCATCCCAAAACGGATTATGATGCAGTCTGTCTAAAATCAATAAGAACTGATTCAAGTTTAGATAGGTAATCGAGATTTGAATGTAAAAAACTTATAGAAAACTCACATGCTATGAACCATGTTTTTAGGGCATGTTAGGGTTAAGATATCGGCTCGCTTTCGCTGTGAACTTTTTTTAGGGCATGTTAGGATTCCACTACTGGTGTGATATCACCAACGAATTAGGGCAAGAGAATCCTAAACCTGATTGAAATGAAATTAAAGCAATGGATACCCCAAGATGTGGAGGGAGCAAAAGTGGATGTCGGAAATCAGAAGCCGAGAAAATGTCTACAAGACGATTGACGCCGAGATTTCCCTTCGGAAGGAAACGGAAGGTCTTCAGATGCGTCGACATGAAGACCTAAATTAAAAGAGGGCCAGTGGTTGAAGACAGACGATGCAAGAGGAAGAAGAGCCAAGCATTCGTCAGCGAGGAGTGATTTTTGAGACGAACAGGAGGCACAAAGTCAGTGCAAGCGGTGGAACTGGAAGTTTGTTTGCTAGAAGAAGGTTGAAAGCGATGCAATAATATAACTGTACCGCCCCCATTTATTTAAATAAATTAATAAATAAGTGGAAGTCCCGACTAATTTGCGAAGAATTTTGATAGTTGGGGGTTGTTTAGTAAGTTATGGAGTTGTTTTGAGAAGAATTTTAGAAGCAAGGGTATGTTTGGTAATTATTAGGATTAAAATTGAAAGGATTGTAAATGCTAAGGGTTTAAAGGGGAACTTATGGGACTTGTATTGTAATAAATTATTAATGATAGGGACTGTTTAGTAAGTATGGTACTTAGTTTGTAAAAAGAAGGAGATGGAGGCGCTGGAAGTGTCATTATGGCAGAAGTTTGAGAGGAGCTGGAGTATATATGCCATCCACCGTCTAACCCTAAACCCTAGCCCAAGACTTTGCAGCCGCCATCGTCGGAGGGTCCTCCGGCACCGCCTCCCTGTTGTTGAAGCCGTCGTGCCGCCTCCCGTGCCGACGAGGGCAAACTCGACTGCCGCTGCTACGGTCGTGGTTTGAGGAAGCAACTCCCCCCGTCGGTTGCGAGCATCCTAGTCGCCGCTGCACCGCCTCTGTGAAGAAGACGAAGCCACCGCCGGACGCCGCATCTGCCATTCCAAGCGACGTCGGTGGCCCTGGTGCCGTCAGTGAAGATCGAGCGGATGCTCTCCTTCGTAGCTGTTGTTGATGTTATCCGCTTCATCCCTTCTACCCCGCCTTCTTCTGCCATCGCAATGTCGCTGTAGCAGCCACTCCGGGCGGCTGTTGCGGCTGGTGTTCTTCTTCAACTGCCTTGCGCCACCACGAGGGTGGTTGAGGTCGGGGTGCGCTTTGGTGTTTGGCTCGCGACAATCATGCTCAGGTGGTCGTGTGTTGATAGGCTGAGACTCAAGGAAACTCGCCACCACTGTGAGGTGGTGGCTGTCGATGCAAACCACCGCTTGCCGCCGCTTCTACTTCCTCCTGCCATGTCATGTCACCACCAACCGTCGTGGTGGTGGCTGTGAGATTGTGTGAGTGTATGATTCCATTTTAATGTGTGTTATCTCGTGTGGTGTGTGTGATAGTTTATGTATGGGGCGTTTGTCTAACCGGAAAGTCGGGAATAGCCACCGCCACCACCGTGAGGTGGTGGCTGTCGCCAAGCGCCACCGCCGGCCACCACGGTGTGGTTGTGTGTGTGTTGGTTAGTGTGTGTTAGTGAGTGAGTGTCTGTTATTTTGGATGAAAACCTTGTAACTGTAATTAGCTTTGAATAATGAAATAATAATAATAATAATAACTACCGTATCGTGGTGGCCGCCGCCACGAACCGCCATTGACCACCACTATCCGAGGTGGTAGTAGGTGGTACCCCTCTAGCAAAACCCT